CGCCCACTCTCTCCTGTTCCTTGCCTACGAGGGCAACCTAATAAACGACTTTACCATCTCTTCATTCCTGTCAGCCGTATCAGCCGTGCTTATCTAGCAGCACTAGGCTCGAAACCAATCAACAGTTGGTGCAGCTGGTGTGGATTTGAACTGGTTGAGCAGCACGTTCGGAGAGGAGAGAGTGAAGCAATCCAGGACGATTTGGACGTTTATGCTAGCTAAGATCACAGCACAACCCGTACAACAAGCCCAAATCTTGGTATCAGAATCACCTCAAGCAGGGTACCGCGTGTTTCTCGAACAATACAGCCAGGATAAGAGTCAGGAGCGACAAACTCTTGATGACGCATGGAACGTAATAGGCCAGAGGCAAGGAGAGAGTCTTATTCGAAATTACGGTAGGGCAGTTGCGCTGTCGATGAGAATAACAGGGATGAAAAGTCGATGTGCAGGCACATAGTTCGGGGATTTCTCCCAAGGTTTGAGCAAACTAGAGACCGTCTTCTGTTTGATTCGATGTTGTCGAGGGCTACAATGCAGGAGATGCTGAGGTTGGAAGAGCACGAGCTGAGGTACGAGCGGAGAGCTGGAGAGGGGAAGGAAGAGATGAGGCACGCCCTCGTCGCTGCCGGCGTGGGCCGGGGCGGCGGGGCGGGGAAACCAGCCGGTGCAGGATCGGAGCAAGGCGGACATCGACTCCAACAACCACAGGGGTCGGCGCAGCCACATCAGCGGCAACCTTGATGAGAGCCGAGTCTCCAATCTGTATGAATTGTTCATGCGGGCCCAAGTGGCGTACGTTGTACATTGCATCCACCTTGTTCGAAATCATTGCACTAGCTCCAGAATCGGCCTGCCATTGTTCGCTACCAATCGGATTCGGCATGGAGGGTTGGCACAAGAAAGATTTTTCAACCGTGTGATGCACGGCGGGTGAGACGGGCTACGACTACCTTTTCAGGCACACTTGGCACAGCAGGGACAGGTGCATCACACTCCGAAGTTTAGTGGTATTTCGGAGTGTGATGCACCTGTCCCTGCTGTGCCAAGTGTGCCTGAAAAGGTAGTCGTAGCCCGTCTCACCCGCCGTGCATCACACGGTTGAAAAATCTTTCTTGTGCCAACCCTCCATGCCGAATCCGATTGGTAGCGAACAATGGCAGGCCGATTCTGGAGCTAGTGCAATGATTTCGAACAAGGTGGATGCAATGTACAACGTACGCCACTTGGGCCCGCATGAACAATTCATACAGATTGGAGACTCGGCTCTCATCAAGGTTGCCGCTGATGTGGCTGCGCCGACCCCTGTGGTTGTTGGAGTCGATGTCCGCCTTGCTCCGATCCTGCACCGGCTGGTTTCCCCGCCCCGCCGCCCCGGCCCACGCCGGCAGCGACGAGGGCGTGCCTCATCTCTTCCTTCCCCTCTCCAGCTCTCCGCTCGTACCTCAGCTCGTGCTCTTCCAACCTCAGCATCTCCTGCATTGTAGCCCTCGACAACATCGAATCAAACAGAAGACGGTCTCTAGTTTGCTCAAACCTTGGGAGAAATCCCCGAACTATGTGCCTGCACATCGACTTTTCATCCCTGTTATTCTCATCGACAGCGCAACTGCCCTACCGTAATTTCGAATAAGACTCTCTCCTTGCCTCTGGCCTATTACGTTCCATGCGTCATCAAGAGTTTGTCGCTCCTGACTCTTATCCTGGCTGTATTGTTCGAGAAACACGCGGTACCCTGCTTGAGGTGATTCTGATACCAAGATTTGGGCTTGTTGTACGGGTTGTGCTGTGATCTTAGCTAGCATAAACGTCCAAATCGTCCTGGATTGCTTCACTCTCTCCTCTCCGAACGTGCTGCTCAACCAGTTCAAATCCACACCAGCTGCACCAACTGTTGATTGGTTTCGAGCCTAGTGCTGCTAGATAAGCACGGCTGATACGGCTGACAGGAATGAAGAGATGGTAAAGTCGTTTATTAGGTTGCCCTCGTAGGCAAGGAACAGGAGAGAGTGGGCGCCTCGTGCGCCACAAAGCATCAAGCAACAGTCGCAAGAAATTCACCGACGTGAAGACGCATAGACTTTCCGCAGCTCGGAACAATTTCAACTACCAAAGACACGTCGGGAGATACCCCGAGGGTCCACGCCTGTGAAACGGTCACTTGCACACTTTCTCGCTCTCAAACCACACATGAGTACTACCGCAGTAGCGTTCGTACGGATGACATAATCCACCTCACGGACACCCTCCCTGATTCTGTACATCGTCACGAATGCTGGCAAAAAACAAAGTATTCAGGGTACTCATAGAATTGCAAAAACAATAAACGAAGGGAAACCTGGCCACCGGATCAAAACCCTCCGCCTCCAAGGTCATCCTACTGAATGACTTGTCAACGCAAAATCAACACAGTAGTCACCAAATTTGCAAACCTCCGCGTTTACAAGTATATATCAGACATTTGCTACTCCTCTTCAAGTAGCCCCCTCCCAGCAACGAGATCCGTCCTGTATCAAGTTGCTGTTAGCACCGGGGCGCGCCTACAGCGCCAAGCACCAACGCCAAGTAGCAGCGAAAAAACGAAAGATCTGACGCTACATCGCTCATCACAGCGGAAAACGAAAGAATATCTGACGCTACATAGCTCCCAACTGACGTCTAAAAAAGGGCAGTCTACCAAATCGCAGAGGGAGGTGCCCCTCTCAAAACCTGTACATCGGAGGTAGACCAAGCAGCACTCAACCGCAAACAGTTCTTCAGCAAACTTGTTGGTACATCGCTACGGGAGACACTGGTTACAGTCATCTTCACTACTCGTTTTCAAGCAGTCCCCTCCCACCAACAGGATCCCTACTACTGTATCAAGTTGCCGTCAGCACCGGGGCTCGTCGACAACCCCGAGCACCGTTGTCGATTCATTCCAGAAAAGCGAAAACCAACGCTACATTGCTCTCAGCGGAAGGACATGTAAGAGGGGAATCAATCACATCGCAGGGAAGGGTGCCCCCCTCGACCTGTGCATCAATGAAAGATCAAGCAGTATCTCGACCAAAAACAGCTCATTAATCCACTTGTTGGTACTGCTACAATGGGAGACACTGGTCGCCATTCATCACGAAAAAAGAAGGGGGCGCAGCTTTCTACGTCAACCCTCCCTGACTTCAGAGCAAATATCTCAGCCTCAACCTGTATGGGCTGGAAAATAATTCCGACATCATCAATCAAATCAATGTGACGGCGGCGCCCCGGGTCATCCATACCAAAATGAGCAAACAACAGAATGCCACACCACCATCAATATTCATCATGCAAGGACGCCTCGTGCATCTACCTGTACGACGAGCTTCTGAGATGAGCATGGGGGACCAGACAAGCGACGTCGAGTTTCGTAGACTGCTTGCGTAACAGCTACAACCACAAGGGGGCAGCAAGCAAATCAGGGAAAACAAGACATACACACCCGGAGAAAAACATGGCGTCCAACAATTTCTAACAACAGTAGTTGCATCGTCGGGCATTCGGAGGCAGCCCTAGAAAGAATAACCGACCGCACACGCGCAGGGGAAGGGCAGTTTTGAGAGACAGAAAACACAACACGCCGAAATGTTCAAAGCGCTTCGTACGCGACGTCCAACTCTTCTACTTCCATCGCGGCCACAGCAACCTCACTTGCTACTTTCGATGGGCATTTTTTCACATGGTGCCCTCTTCCTCCGCACCTCTGGCAGACCTGTTGAGGACACTCGTGGGCATAGTGGTTTGCGGTGCAGATGTGGCAGCGGACGGACTTTTTCTCGGCGGCACCACCATCACTCGCTATGCATGCCTGTTCGTCCCCTCCGTTTTTCTTCCTCGACCGTCGTTTCCTCCTTGATCCTTCCCCGACTGCTACGAACGCATGTTGCACTCGCCCGTCAACCTTCCCCTTTGACCCATTGTCCTTCTTCAAGTACCAGCCCTGGTCCTTTGCACTCTCAACATCTCCTCCTCTTCCAGAATCTTCTCGCTGAGCAGTTGTTGCTTTTGCACGTCGTACTCGGAGGAAAGAGCGTCAAGGAATCGGGCGTACACGAGCATCTTGGGGATGGGCTGGCCGAGTGCAACCTCTAGGCTAGTTACGGTAGACTTGAACTGTTGGAAGGAAACTCGAGGATCCTGGTTTCTCTCTTGTCAGTATAGAACTTTCCGATAAGCGAAATCTGCTCGCCACCAGTTAGTGGGGTGAACGTCTGCTCAAGTGCACGCCACGCTGCGGAGGGCCCCTTGCTATTGTAAACCATCAGCTTGGTAGTCTCGTCTGAAATCGCTCCTCCCAACATGCCACACAAATCCCGGTACACATAAACCTCTTCTACAGCTACCCCCTGTTCTATCATGCCATCGTCATCCATCCCTTGGATCTCAATGTCTCGGCCATCGTTCAGAGCATGCATCATTCCGCACGTTTGCACCTGCGTCATGAAGTCGTTCTTGAACATTACCCAGTTCTTTTCTAGGCCATCGAAGTTTAGCTGCTTGAGGCGCGGGATCCGGGCCTTCATGGTCGGGTCGCACCTTGCCGGCGGGTCACTGGTTTCGCTTTCGCGCGAGACGTCCCCCGCAGACGGCAGCGTGGGTCCTTGCGGGGCTGTGTCCGGCAGTCCTCGTTCTCCCTCTAGCCCCTGTCCGATGATCGGCGCTTGGTCCACACGACCAGCGTTGGGAGGGGCGTGCCTTCCCCCCCGTGACTCTCCCCTGCCGCCCGCTGCGGCCATACTTGCGGCGGACGCTGTCTCGGGCACTAACCGAGACAGGGCTTCCATGACGGTCCCTAACTTTTCCGTCATCATGCTCTCCATTTTTGCGGTGGCCTGGTCGATGGCTGTCTTGACCTCCTCGTGGGTCGGGGCTGCATCGCCATTGCCGGACTCTCCAGACGCAGACGGCGTGTGTCCACTTCACTAGGATAGTATGAGGTTAACCTTCGCTCTAGAGTGTTGATTGGTTACAAGCCTAGTGCTGCTAGATAAGCACGGCTGATCCGGCTGACAGGAATGGCGAGATGGTAAAGTCGTTTATTAGGTTGTCCTCGTAGGCAAGGAACAGGAGAGAGTGGGCGCCTCGTGCGCCACAAAGCACCAAGCAACAGTCGCAAGAAATTCACCGACGTAAAGACGCATAGACTTTCCGCAAATCGGAACAATTTCAACTACCAAAGACACGTCGGGAGATACCCCGAGGATCCACGCCTGTGGAACGGTCACTTGCACACTTTCTCGCTCTCAAACCACACATGAGTACTACCGCAGTAGCGTTCGTAAGGATGACATAATCCACCTCAAGGACATCAACAGGGACCTCTTGAACTCCTCGTCACACCAGCAAGTCTTTCACTCTCCAGCCACGCTTCAAAAGCACTCGTGAACACTCGCAATGCAACTTCGATCGATCTGTTCTTCAGATAGTCATCAATCCATGCTGGTACATCGATCTTTTCTCTCTGCCTCAGTTCTAAGATCTGGTTGCTAGACGTGCCTGACTGGGCACGGTGCCCCTGGTCATGAGTTGATGTCGCGAAGACCTGCTTGAAGAGGTCAACCAGCTCGCGCATCGTGTCGCGCTGATCTTCCCCTCCTGCCGCTCGCGCACCCCCTCGGTCTCGTGCATCGGACGAAGAAATAATCGCTCCCTCCTCCGTCCGCGACGCCTTCCCCGGGGGGAGGGACAGCCTGACCTGATCCTCACGGAGGTTGTCGTCCGTCTCCATCCGGCATGTTGCGCGCTTAGACACGGCGGCCGCTCTCTAGATCGTTACGCTACCGTGTTGAGTAGCTTTGTGCGCCGGTGCCTTGGCACGCGGGGTCCCGTGGTTGGGAAACAAAAAGAAACAATAATAACCAGAAACGGGTATACCCGGGTCCTTTATCACCACTTTAGCGTACAGTTAAAAATCAACACGCTTGCACCCCCAGGCTGTCAGCTGATTGGCCGAAAAAACGTTGTACCCATTTCTGAAGAAACCTCCATCGGGTACAACTTCCGCTGGAATTAGGACCCTCTGGTGTGACCGATATTGGTTACCGGTGTACCCGGAAGAGGTCAATTTTGTACCCAAAAATGGTCATATAATCCCGGCGCCCGACGCTCTAGCATAAAACCCGCAGAAAAACACGTGTTGTACCGCACATACCGTGTACCGCACATACAGAACCACAACCAAACCACCAACAACGCTCCCTCGTTCATCGTTCATGGGCACCGCCTCCATAGGATACCGGCCCTTCTCAACAGAGGGTCGCACTCGCTTGACGCGCGAGTACTTCGGTGTGGTGCTGATCAGTAAAAGCACAGGAGAGAGAAAAACGGGCACTACCTACCTCGTGCATCATGCTTCCGGGCACAGGACACACAGGACACAGCGGTTCATTGGTTTCGCCGCGATCTACGGCGGATGCTGTCGGAGATTGGTGTCGTCTTGATGTCCAAGTGTGCCCTGAAATGGTGATAATCTATCCGGGTATACCCGTTTCTGCTTACTTCTCAAATAAAAATGCCAGCGGCGCGGTAGCCGCCAACGGTACAGTGTAGGAACTTTGATGGGCGTGACAGCCTTCTACTTTGGGATGGAGCGTGATACCTCGGGTATGGTATCTCTGGATGTGGCGTGGAAGCCTGGTGACGTGATCGTCGTGGTTTGTTGTTTTGTTGTTATTCTCCCGTCATTGGACTCTGTCGTCTGCCCCTCTGGCCCCTATCCTCCACTCCTACTAGCTAGACGACCCAACCGGGGTCACATGGGAGGGGGGGGTTGGACCCCTTCCTGCGGTTCATGCCTGAGGTATTTTTATCGCGAGAAGGGTACAACAATCCCTTCCCTCGCGACTTACGAAGTCGATTGATTATGGTTTACTAACAACGAGCTTTGCAGCGCGTCGCTTTCATCCTAGACCAGGATTTATTTAGTGAGAAAAAAACTCTCTCTGCCGGGACTCGAACCCATGACCTGGCCCCTATCAGGCCGCGCGGCTACCCACTAGACCACCGGGGAGACCGGTGTGTATGTGGTGTAATGGAGTAAGTAAGAACGTGGATGTCCGGAAGGCGTAATAGCCGAGTGGCGTGATAGCCAGGATTGGCGTGGAAGTCGTGGCGTGATAGCCGTGGTAGCGTGGTAGCCGGGGAAAAAGGGCTTGATTGCACACAGGAAGGAGAAAAAGAGGTAAAAACAACAAACAACAAGTGAGAAGCCACAAGACACAACCATCATATCCGTTGTACAGACACATACATACCCCCATCCTCAATCCTGTAATATGCGGCAAAGTTGATACCACCAAATCTAATCCAAAGCAACTGCTGAAGCCCCAAACTCCCCGCTCCATCTGCTCGGAAATTTCTTGCTTGCAATGATCTGTCCATCCTGTGAGTACGTCTAATAGAGAGACTAGAGCTTTCGTTTGAGCACTTCAGCGTCGCAATCAGAGCATCCAGCGACGAGATACAGCAGCACCACCACCACCCACCGCCGGCGCGGGCCCTCGGAAGGCATGTGAAGCAGCTAGCGGTGGCATGAAGATCAGAGAGGCCTCTAGGCTCTTTGGGCTAGATAGGTGGAGCCGCCTCGATGGCGCGGTGGCCATGAAAGCAAAAGTTAAAGTTGGTCCCGCGACTGTCCTGAGCGAAGAGGAAAAATTCCCTTGAAGATGTTCTGCTGTACGCTGGTCGTCACTGCTTGGCTGTGGGTCGGCTGCACCTGCTAGAAACCGTTATTCGAGCGAAGCGAGATTTCTAATCTCTAATCTCGCCTGAGGTCTCACCGCAATAATAGGCTCCATGCAGAAAAAAATAGTTTGTGCGTGTGTCCGCTTAAACTAGGTTTGAGAGTACAGCAGTACATTACTTGGTATTAAACGGGGGGGGGTCAGCAGACAGAACACAGAACACACGATGCTGTTGCAGTGCAGACAGAACACGCGCTCAGCGGGCACGGCGACCCACGCACACCGGTCAGAGCACACCGGGAATAGCGGACACAGCCACAGCGAGAGACAGCCACAGCGAGCGACAAAAAAGCCAGCATGGCTATTGCATGAATAGACTTCCGTTGCGGTCGATTGACCCGAACTCTCTCCGTGAGGCGGAGGCGCACACAGACTCACGGCGCAGACAAAGCCACGGGGAGAGGGAGTCCCAAGGCAGCCCACAGCTTGACAGGGCGAGAGCTGCTGCTCGTCAGAGGACTGCCGCCAGGCGTGCGACGGAGACCGATGGAGCACGGGCAGAAAGGTGCGTTGCGTGTGCGTGTGGGCGGCGATTGCCCCAGGAAATTTAATAACCGCAGAGTTCAAATACACAACAAGGGCCTTTTTTTTCTTCCGCGCACACAGCAGTAGTGCTGCTGTACCCCACACCCACAACACATCGAACGCACGGCACACACGCAGGCTGCGGGCCAACCGAGAGAGAGAGGCTGCGAGGCGCCAGCGGCAGACACCACAGCAGCTGGCGGCTAACCGAGAGAGAGAGGCTGCGAGGCGCCAGCAGCAGACACCACAAGCGACAGAGGCCAGGTGTGTGTGCATACAAAAAGCTTGTTGGTGCCCAGCATTTTTAAACTTGTGCAGACATTTTTTCGCCGCATCGTCAACTTGGCATCGTCCACACGCATCACGCTGCCTCTGCAGATTAGACTAACCTCACGGACCCCACTTCGCAGGCGTGCAGCGGCTAGAGAACGGGCAGCAGCGGCCAGAGATGCCGAGAGGGCAAGGCGAGAGAGCGAGGCTCATGTCAAGCGGAGAGACCTTGCGGAGTTTGACGCTGCTAGGCCGCTAGAAAAGTTGGGTTGGGCCAGAGACGACATGCAAACCACCTTCCAGCAGCCCATGAGTGCCCGGAGGATGCATGTGTGCACTGTGTGCTCTGAGCGTTGGGACTCCGCAGAGGACGGACCGGAGGACGGAGGCGTCTATAGGTGGGTGGTCTTTCGTGTTCAAACGTCTCGGCATGTCGCAACTTGTAACATCTTTAAAAACAAAAAAAACGATGTACGGAGCAAAAACAAATTAGGTATGTACGGAGGATAACAAAGGACCGGGAAAAGAAATATGGAAAAATTGCCTTAGAGAGGGCTCGAATCCGATCCGGTTTCATCGACTTCTTACGTGCGTGCTTCACATGACATCGAGTTTGTGTGTGTCCTGACGCACGTCACGTTACCCTTCTATACCCCACCGCCTGCCGCCCCCACACCCGCTTGTTGGTACAGTTGTCCGCGGTGCAAGAAGGACAAGAAGAGTCCGAAGCTGTTCTCCGCCGACAACAACATGGATCCTGGGAGCGTACCCGTCGAGCTCCAAGGCCTGACCCAGACGGAGGAGATGCTCATCGCGCGGTGCTGTCCGATCATGCGCGTCCTCCACCTCAAGGGGGGACAGCTAGGGTACGGTGGCCATGTCGTCAACGTCGCTCAGGACATCAGTACCTTAGCCGCTGCCCTCCCCAGGTTGGCCGCCGATGTGCCGATCATCATCATCGGGAGGGAGGGGCAGGAACCTGGCCAGCACAAGGACCTACACGTGCGGAGGGCTCGCGTGCAACGGGCTTTGCTATGGCTCATTGCCAACAACCCGTACTACCGCGACATCGTCCTTGACGGAACGGCCCTATCCCAGCTCCCCGTCGACNGGGCTTACTTTCGTCTGTCTCAGTAGGGCGAAGAGACTTGTGGACCTCATCGTAGAGCCCATGAGTTTCGACAGGATAGGTAACCTTGGAAACTCATCGACGATGAAGGGTAGGCTGCAGGAAGAGGTTAGGCTTGGGGAGTTAGCACGGACTACGAGGGTCAGGTACACGGACATGGGCGTCTTCGGCGCCGTCGCGGGTAACCAATGAAGTCAATTGCAAAAAAAAACAATTTCTTCCACCTCCCGCGGACGCACACGTCTGACGACAGTTACATCTATCAGCTGTCGCTCGTTGTAGCGACAGCTATCCTATCTTTTAGACAGCTGTGCAACGACGGTCGCTCGATCACTTGGGATCCAGGGAAGCGTCCGGGGAAGGACTGGCTCGCTGGCTTCCTCAAGAGGCACCCACGGGTGTCGGAGCGCACGACTCGCATCTACGAGTCAAACAGAATCACCGAGGACAAGGAGCCTCGCAACGTCGAGTACTACAAGAAGTGGGCAGCTCTCTTCGACGAGCACAAGCCGGAGGCCGACCACGTGCACAACACGGACGAGACAGGTGAGGATGTACTTGTTGACTAGTCTAGTCTAGTGTGGTATCAGTAGAAGCTGCAGTGTGCGAGCTCGTGTGCAAAGACCGCGAAGATGGCATGCCAATATCTTGCGGAGTTCTGATGTGCGGCCGAATTTTCAAAGATACGGGGCGTCCTTCTGGGGTACGTACGTACTGCTGTGCGCCCTCGCACCTGTTCCATGTTGCCGAAGTCGACGCTGGCTGTGGTCTAGAGTAGAGTACAGCAGTAGTTCAGACTGCGAACTACACAGATGTACCATAGAGAAAGGGCTGTGTCGCATGGTCTTTTTGGACGATTGTTCCGCAAGTCTACCCTGCAGAAAGTGCAGCTTGCGGGTACAGCAGGACAGCGTGCATGTGTGTAAATGATGTACAGCAGACGAGTCTAGTCTAGGACGAGTACCGAGCAAAGAATAGGCACACCTTGCTCTTGCTCTTCCTGCTGCTAGTCCAGTCCAACTACCGCCGACGAAAGTAGACAAAGTAGGTGGCAGCTTGCTTCACGAAAAATACATGACCGCCCCGCCCCTTCGGTGAAGCGCGGTCTATCCTGCTAGGAGCGCGGTAGACTGCCCATTGCTTGTGTTTGTGTGTGTGTACACCGTTGCATTTTATATCTACCGTAGCTGGTCACCCCCCTTGACCTCCACCTACGCGATTTGGCTCCCTCCCTCGCGGGTGTAATTAGGTACCACACCGCAAGGCACGAAGACGATGAAGGCCTTCGCGGAGGTAGGGCAGAAGGTGGTTGAGTCGATGCGGTCCAACTCGCGAGAGAACGCCACCGTGGTCACCACCATCAGCACCAATGGTGTCACGTGGGCGCCAACCATTATCTTCAAAGGACAGCGACTCCAGCTTGACTGGTTCGCCGAGAGGAACGGCCCGAAGGATGCGAGGTACACATGCACGGACTCTTCGTTCATGCAGGGCGACGTGTTCATCAAGTACCTCAAGGACTTCTACAAGCAGCTTGACGACCGAGGCGTGCTCGACGGAAAGCCGCACATCCTCGTGCTTGGTGGGCATGCCTCACTCGTGAGCTACGAGGTCATCAAATTGGCCATGGAACTCAATATCATCCTCTTCCAGCTGCCCTCCCACACGTCGCACATCACCCAGCCGTTGGACGTCGTCGCTTTCGGAACCTTCAAGAAGGAGGTGACTAAAGTGCTGCAAGACTACTACCACGCAAACGGCGGGTCGTTACCGCTGAAGCGTGACGTGCCCAGCGTGATCGCGGCGGCTTGGCAAAGGAGCTTCACACCGGAGCGGAACAAAGCATCCTTCGGCGGGGCGGGGCTGTGGCCTGTGGACATGGATCGAGCGCTCGCCCGGCTTCAGGCACGGCGAAGAGGAAAGAGGGGCCGACCGCGCGCCCACCCCTAGAGGATGTCCCCATCGCCATGACCCACGAGCAGCTGGAAGAGGCCATCGGAGAGAGGGTCCTGAGGCAGTTGAAGGCGGGAGGACAAACCATTACCGGACTCAAGGTAGGCACGGTGATGCTCGGCGGTCTCCTGACTCAGAGGAAGCGCGCCAAGAAACTGACGACCTCGCGGGGCTCTTTGGGCCTTCCCGACGGAGGCAACATCAACTCGGAAGAATTCCTGGCAAAGGTTAACAGGGAGCGCGCAAGGAAGAAGGAAGAGGCGGCCGCGGCGGCGGCGGCGCGGNAGGGGGGCGCGGGATGGGGGAGGGACGTGAGGCTACCGGGCAAGGGAGGGGGCGGGGGGCGGCGGGGGGGGGACGCGGCCGAACAGGGGCTGGAAGAGGGGCCTCACCTGGCCGTGGTCAAGGAGCGGCTGCAGCACAAGGGGCGGCTTTGCCCGTTCGCCAGCCGGCACCTCCCTGTCCCGGGTTGGACGGCAGCGGGCGCCGACACCCGTTGTTGACGTGTAGCCGCCTATGAGGCTCACCTTGGTTTGTTTTCTACCACACTCAGAGTAGGACAAAACAAGCTACAAAAGTCGTCAGTTTTTGAGTGAAGTCGAGACGTACCCTGTTGCACGTTGCTTGTTGATAGTAGCGTAGGCAACGGTGGCGTTATAGCATGCCAATGAGGCGGGAGGGGGCGGCGGGGGGCGTTTGACCGAAAACCGGGGATATCGTGATTCTGTCCCCGGGTGACCTTTTTTTTTTGCGATAAATGTTTCTCATTCATGTCTGAATGCTCCCTCCAAATTTTATGTCGTGGGGATGTATGCACAGTCCAGAATAGACTATCCAGGGTTAGTGGTGTACGGGGCTGATTCTTGCCGTAGCGGCACGCAAAATACCGAAAATATACACATTTTTGAACAACTATTTTTTGACCGTAACAACTCCTTTCGGTGTGATTTTTTCTTTCGTGGTCGGCTATTGTCAGGAGCAACCCGTTTATGCTCCAAACCTATCAATTTTATTCGTTTTCGATGCACATATCACTCCGTACGTACAGGCAAACGGAGGCAAATCCCGCCCCCCACATCTGCGTCAATAACCCGGGGATATCCAATTTTCATCCCCTGGTGGCACCAAAAAAAAAAACTTGATTTTTGTTCACGACCATTGTGTTGACCATTGTGTTGGGCGCATGTGTGCCAAATCTTGGGTCTTGAAACGGTTTCAAACCCCCGCAATCAACCAATCGTCAAAATGGTTGTCAATACCCCCCGGGCCGTTTTACCCTCAAGACTTCAACTTCAACTTGGGCAAACGGAAACAACAGTTGTGCCTTGTCACTAACGTCGATTTTTTTTGTTTTTTGTTACAGATAGGTGGTGGTGTTAGCTATCGTTCGATACCTAAAAATCTTCGAAGTTGGTTTTTCTGTCGAAGAACGAGCTTTTGGCGCGGGAGGTGGCTTAGTTAGGTGGTTGTTGATACCGGTGGCTTAATTAGGTGCTTGTTGATACCCGCCGCTACTTTATTATGTGTTCTTAGCCTGCCTGCCCGTGAGGGTCGTGACGAGGTCGTGCGCATGCTCGCGGGTGTGTGTGTGTTTTCGTCCTATTTATTTACTTTTTTGGCGACAGCCCCCCCATTTTCCGTGGTGAGACATGTACTACACTTTTAAGCGTGTGTCGAGTACTACACTTTTTAAGTGATATTTTTCGTTAAACTACAACCATCCAGGGTCACACAGAAGGGGGTAAACAGCAGGGCTTTTTTCTTTTTATTTCTTTTCATTATTATGCCCCACCTTACTCCTGCGGTGCGTGCTGAATTTTATTTTTATCGCGAGAAGGGTCCAGCCGTCCCTTTCCCTGTCAACGGTGCTAACAACGTCGAAGTTTGTTTGGTACTCACGAGAGCTTGTCAGCTATATTTCGCTTTCACCCGCACATTCCGAAAATTTTTCATCCCATGGGGCTTCGAACTCACCACCTCTGCGACTAGCGGATTACGAGGATATCACTAGACCACCGGGGCGACCGACAGTTGTTGTTGCTGTTTGTTGGTCTTCACTTCAAATCAGCGCTCACGGCACAAGTGCCGTTTACTCCAACCCGTGGTCACACAGAAGCGCCCCTCTCTACCCTCCCCTCCTGCGGTACTTTGCCTTCGATTTTTAATGCGAGAACACGACAACCAAGCCACCAAGTCTTCGCATTACACGAGACACTACTGCTGAAGTTCGTCTCCCTTTCGATCCCGGCAAAAAGCGGGGGTGCTAGCGGCCGGTGAGGGGGGGGCTAGCGGCCGCACTGCTGTCTCCGAAACTACACCCGCCCGAGAAAAAAAACAAACATGAAATACGTTGTTTGTTCCTCCGTTTCATGGAAGCATTTTTTTTTTTTGCTTGCGGAAATATCTTTTGGCTAACCTGCTGCCTACCGCAGTAGTACAGCAGCAGCACTCTCTGTCTCCTACGGCCGTCGCATAAGAACTAAGGAGAAATAAATACACGCACAGAAAGATTACCCATTCGAGATATACCCACAGTCGAACGGGATGTGGTGGAGTCTTTTCAGTAAGTGGAGGAAAGAAGGACATAGAAGTATGAATATATTCATCATGCGTCCCTGCTTTTCGAACAAACATTTTCCCTCTTCACAGCATTTCTTTTTCGTGTCTCTCGCTTCAAAACTCCACCCGCACACGCTTGCCATCGCCATTGAACCTACGAGCCTAGCGGCGACCGCGAAGCCGTACGCCGCGAAGCGCCCTTGCATCTACGTATACTGCACTTCTGTACAGCACATACATGCGCACCTTACATGAATATATGTGATTTACCACTTGAAACTGCGTAGTTACACACAACAATATTCGACGAAACCCTCAATCATTGAAGCCACAACGTCTATAGACTACAAGCAGTCGGACCAAGGTTGGGCGAGTTTCGAGGATGGTTGATACCAATGTTGTTCCGCGCTAATCGCTCCCTCTCCCTCCTTCCCTCCACCCCGCCCCGTCTCAGACACACATTGCAGCCCAGAAAACCCTTCCCAGCGGAGAGATCGCTGGGGGGGGAACAAACATGATGCGCCACGTCTATCCACTGCCCACCGACGAGGCTGCTGTGTGGCCGAGAGCCGAACAAATCTTCGGTCACAACCGGCTGCACCTAGGTACGGTAAGGGGTGACCATACTTCTTGAATTTGGCTACATGGGAAGAATGGTTGGCTTCCTATTTTCGATCTCGTCCCCGCGTGGCTGTGGGCTGATTACCCAAGCACGCTAAACAAAACTTCGGTTCAAGCTTGGTTCTAATGGCGCCTCTGCACAATCAACAACTCAAGTCGACCGAGTCTGGCTAGCTTGTACACAATCCCCAAGATCGGGCATGTCGACCGCACTTTTGTACACGTAAAGGGGGTGGCAGCTCGTCCTTCCAACGCCTCGAAAATGATGATGTTCGTTCCTTGCCAAGCGCAATGCCCTCTCCCGGTACACAATCAAGCTCACACACGAAACAACAGACAAGCAAGACGGTGGGTGGGGTCGTACCGTCTTATTATACCGCAGTGGAAAGCTTTCTCTCGTCAGAGGAAGGGCTCTGCGAGGTTCTTAGTTGTTAGTCTCGGGCACGTCCGACGGATGCTTGTGTCCTGGTGGCTCTGGCAAGCTTGTTGCTCACATAGGAATTCGAGAGATTGCATGGAAAAATATGGAGAATGCAGTTCGCTTGTGAACCCAACTTGTTTTGCATCGGTCAGGGGTCATGGGGAATGGATAAAGTTTTGACAGCCAGATCTTCTCCGCACATATGGCAACAGAGGACACGGCGGAGTTTGCGCTCGCGCCATAGATGAACACCAGATGGTCCGACCATCAAGGTATCACTCCAATACCTATCCTCCATTGTAAGATAGGCTTGTTCGGGGCGTTTTCCGCGGGTGGTGTGCTTCACAGCTGCGAGGTCGTCCTTTGCGCGGGTGTGAGCATTGCTTGTCGGCTGTTCGAGACTGCTGCTTCTATATATACCATTTCTCCACTCGACATTTATTGGCCGGACTAGGATAGGGGCCACGGTGAACCTATGCCTCAAGGTTAGGTGAAATGTCAGGTCGGAAATGACGAGTAACGCATGTTCGACGCGCGCTTCTCCTTTTACCATCTCCAACCCTGGCATAAAGGAGCCCACGGCGGTGGCGGAGTAAGCCTCGATAGTTTATTCCATATTATCGGAGAGACTGGCGGCATGAAATCGTCTGCCACCTGGTGCATACCGACAGGCCTCCTGTTTCGCTACTTTTTTGCTCTCAAGTTTTCAAGCGTTCAGGCACCACCTGTCGAAACCCAGCGGGTACGTCTACCCATGAACGACTGGCCTAATCTCGTAGTCTTCGTTTTCCCGTTGTCGTCACTGTTTGTTGGCTGTCTTTTGCGGAAAGCTGGCTCGCCACGAGTGTCTGAAAATATCTGACATGATGAGCACCACACTTTCCTGGCCGTCACCGTTCACTTTAGACGCCGCTCCGACGCTGGGATGCTGCGCAAAAACGAACCCTAGACGGCTACCTCACGCCTACCGTTCTCCTACTCAATCGAAAAATTAAACACTCTCACCTTGTGTGTCATGCGCCTCGCGTTTGTCGTGCCAAGGTCGGCGCATCTTGGACAGCGGGTTGGGAGTGACCTGGGGTGACGGGCAACATTGGGTTGAAGTGAACGAACCAACGTCTCCCCGAGGCAGCATCTGGCACTTGAACAGAGTCTGCTGGCTGTCCGTGCATGCCACGGTACCCGCTCCGCCGCCCGGATGCTATGCGGGATTCTTCAGAATCAGGCAGCCGATCCAACGGCGACCCTTGCTTCGATTTTCAGCGGAGTGGAAGGTCGCTGCCACCATGGCGGTAAGTGCCGGTCATTACTATTAGCTTAGTTGTGAAGGGGCCGCAAGACCAACTTACACGTAATTGCTGTCGTGACAGCCGCAAGGCTGATTGCGGTGCGCGTTTTGCTTGTCCTCAAGACGTTGCACCACTGTAAAGTCTGCCTTGAGCTAGTGGGGTTTGAGGGTTCATGATACTTCCTCTGTATCATAAGTTAGGGTACCTAAATTTGTACGGGCCCTTAACCGTGTCCGATCTGTTTTCCGATTTTTTTGTTGAAATCTTCGGAGTTTTTTTAGCAAGAAACATTTATTTTTATTTTTATGCATGCGCCACCCCGCGTGCATGA